CTTGTAATCTGATGTTGATAATATATTTTGCGCTCTGGTTAACTAGTGCTCTCACATTTACGATTGTAGCAATACTGTCAAGTAAGTTCGACCGTCCGTTCGAATACTTTTATGCAAATACAATTTAATCACAGACTGCTTCAATCTCGTCTAGCGGTTACTGTGGCAAATTTAAGCAAAATGGCCGTCCCCACAAAAGCACTCGATCTTGCTTCTGCCAGCATATAGTTAACATAAGCCCGAATCTTACTGTGGATACATCTTGCTGCTATTTGGAAGAATAGGGCCTGAATCTAGGAAAATCAGGATGAAGACTAAACTCAAAATAAGCCACAGGGCACATTCGACATCAGTGCACAACGCTTATAGAACAACCGTAATTATGCGATATTTGAATTTTTCTGGGGAAAAATCACAAATACACTAAAAAATGTTTGAAAAAAAAAACATTGTCTATTGCTGTTTTCAAGCAAAAAAAGGCGTTAAAGTAACATGGATGGTGCACCTACCGTATCAGCGACATTATCAAGGTGTAGATCGGAGATCATCTCAGATACGTCAGCGCAGCGGGCTTCAATATCTCTAAGTTCTCGAAACAGTTCCAAATGCTCGCGCACTGTTAGCGAATCAAACAGCGCATTGTACTGTGGGCAATATCCAATTTCATGCTGGCATTTCTTGATGCTCCTCGAATTCAGTACTTTTCCACAAACAGAGATGGTGCCTGACGTTGGTGTAATAAGACCGGTTATCATTGAGAACGTTGTGCTTTTGCCAGCGCCATTATGTCCCAGAAGAACCGTTATCTGTAACAAGGATTGCCATTACTGCCCACAAACCGGTATGACGAGGATGGAGATAAAGTGGACAAGGATGAATAGTATTTGCGCATTTTGAACAAAACATGGAAGGTTCTAACAAGGTGCTTAAATTGTACTCCTAAGCAAATTAAAGTAGGAGCAAAATCGTAAAGAAAGGAAACTGCTGCCCTTGCTGTATCGATGCCGATAAGGAAAACTTGAGAAACAGAGACATTCGAAAGTAATCCGCCGGCAACAGTTTCCAACTAGCGAAGTGTCAAAGAACTCCTCTTCCGAGAACTTCTTAATAAGTTAATGACGGTTTCGACTCCAGCGAAGTACCAATCAGCCTCAGTCATAGGCGGCACGCACCAGGCGGGTCGGTGCAATCATGCGTTTTTGCGTACTGCTTTAGCAAAATCGCAAGAATATATAACCTACTGGCTCTCGACGTTCAGAAAGTTCTCACGAGTCAGTACGTCAAATGTAGACGTGCGTGACAACTGAGAAAATTCTCACATTCCGGAGTCGTACTTGACCAGAAAACACACTGGCAAAATTTCAGCGCCAAAGCTTGCGTGGTTGCTGAGTAGGAACACCCGAACAGACGAACAAGCAGGGTCGCCACAATATGAGTCCCTGCTGCCTGCTGCAGCGCTCTAGCGCTGAATAACAAAAACGCATAAAAACGAGTCGACAAATTTCAGCGGCGATCCGTTTCCTCTTGGTGAAATCAAATCATCGATCTGCAGCCTGGGCAGTGCTAGTTGCCACTAAAACAAATTCCCAGTTTTAATCACATATTCCATAAACGCTACGCACCACACAAACAACTTACTTCCCCACGACGTGCAGAAAAAGATAACTTGTCAACGACCGTTTCCGCTGCATACTTTTTGGTTAATTTTGTTACAGCAATATCCGCTTTATCTTGCTCTGGATCTGCTCCTCGGATATTAATATCTTCATTTAACTGATCTGTGTAGTCTTCTTCGGGAAGATGAACTTTTTCTGTCTTCGACGGCTGCAAGAAATTGACATTCCGTTGCGAAATCAAAAAATATGCCAACAGTCAAAACGCTCCCCACATTAGCTCTTATGAGAGATGTTTGCGCAGCTG